GATTTGATTAGGTTTTGGTTGAAAGTTTATATATTTGCACAATACGTTCCCTAAAGATCTGTCAATTAATGTTTTCATAATTGTTAAAAATCATACAGTTTACTTTACTGTACTATTATTTGGTGACTTTTTTACAATTCTTGTTATATTATTTTATAAATTGACATTAAGAATAATACAGTACAAAGTCATGTAGTATAGATTAAGGTAATTATGCAGATTGATTTAAAAAAAAAATTGTTAATTTTTGGTCAGAATTGTTCCCACTTCAATTTTAGCCAGTGTTTACCAAGCAAAATAGTGTTTAAATATATTGTTTCAGGTCTTTTATTCTCACTTTTGCCAATCAAAGAAAAGTTCACACCAGGCAGCATCAGTTGTTTGTATCCGTTCTGATTTCTTATTTGTTATTTGATCTAGTAAATTCTCAATGGGCAAGGTTGTAATAGTTACAATATGTTCATTTAAGAATAGACCTTTTGAAATATTAAATCACTTATTTCAAAAAATAAAATGAAACAAAATAAAATAGCACTGTTTCACATGCTACATGTAATCATTAAAAAGCTTCTTGGACGAGACAGTCAAGGATCTATTGTACTTTTCATCAATGAAACAAACAAACAAAATAAAAGAAACTTAAATTTATTTTCTTTAGGCTTTCATTTCCTGTTGTTTTGATAATTTATTTTTATTGCAATAATTATTTTATTTTTGTTTTTTAGATATGCGGAAGAGACTCGTAAGAATTTCATCGCAACTTTAGACTGGCTGCATGAATATGCGTGTTCTAGATCTTACGGTTTAGGTAAGAAGCATTACCATGTTTATGGTCTTTGTACTTCAGTTATTTGCAGCAAATACTTAATTTATTTTTCATCCAAAAGTTATAAATAGATTTGCATGTTGTAATACATCTCTCAAGTTTCAAAATTACCATGCCAATTAAAAAAAATGTAACCTTACAGGTAATACTATTTTATTCTCCTATATTTTTGTGGTATCTAAAAGGTCACACATCCTGGTACTTGTGCATGACTCCCAAAAGTTCGAACATCCTGGTATTTATGCATGACTCCCAAAAGGTCACACATCCTGGTATTTATGCATGACTCCCAAAAGGTCACACATCCTGGTATTTATGCATGACTCCCAAAAGGTCACACATTCTGGTATTTATGCATGACTCCAAAAAGGTCACAAATCCTGGTACTTATTCATGACTACCAAAAGGTCACACATCCTGGTAATTACCCGTATGCATGACTCCCAAAAGGTCAGTGAGAATTTCTCAATTATTTCCCCCCTTACGTGGGAACAATACTCCCCAGAATATACAACCTTTTAGGGGGCATGCATGTGGGACCTGATAATGCAAGTTTTTGACTGTTATTCTCTTGTTTCTATCATAGGAACCAAAATACCATGGGATGAACAGTACTTGATAGAGTCTTTGTCCGACTCCACTATTTACATGGCATTTTATACTGTAGCATACTTGTTGCAAGGTGGTGTATTGAACGGTTCTAGTGCTGGTCCCGCTAATATCAGGTAAAACAAAATGTGCATGTATTTTATTTTTGCTACATTTAAAAATTTATATTTGTGAGTCAGAAACATTTTAGTACAATTAAGTCACCTCTCTGTCTCTTGAAAATTTTTATTTTCGGTGTGCTTATTTGCATGTCTCTTAACCCTTTCACTACAAGTTCTCTCTTTTCATCAAAAATAGTGCTGTTTATAGTCTGCATTTTCCTTTAGAAGATTGAGACGAAAATAGCAAAATTTTTTGAGTAAAAACTGAAAATTGATCCAAATTTTGTCTGTTGGCTCCAAAACTGGGGTCATTTCCAGAAATATTGAAGAATATAAGAATAATGTGCAGACAAATTCGGGCGAGAAGTCTGGAGGTGGAAAGGTTAAAACGACCCCACCTGTTTAGAAGGTGGACACACTGTGTTGAGTAAACAGTCAGTTCTGGGAATCACACCCACAAACTCCTCATGGTGAGGTGAACATGCTGTGCCATCGTTTTAGGTTTGCCACATCCTATGAAAACATTCTTATGTTAAGGATGTAGTAGAGGTTTTTTTCTTTGAAAATATCAAATTTACTTTTTTTCAAATTTATTTACTGGTGAAAGGGCTGTAATTTATGTTTTTATTTTACAGACCAGAGCAGTTGTCGCGTGCTGTCTGGGATTACATATTCTTCCTTGAAGCACCCTTTCCTGCTGAGTGTACCATTCCCAGAGTAACTCTGGATAAACTTAAGAATGAGTTTCAGTACTGGTATCCTGTCGATCTACGTGTGTCCGGAAAGGATCTGGTTCCCAATCACTTGACCTATTACATGTATAATCACTGCGCCATCTGGCCCAAGGAGGCCGATAAATGGCCACGAAGTATCCGAGCCAACGGCCATCTGTTGCTGAATTCGGAGAAGATGTCCAAGCAAACAGGAAACTTCCTAACTCTCTATGAGGCTGTGGGTTTATTCTCAGCTGACGGTGAGTTTTGTCTTTTCCAGCCAAATTGAAAAATTGTTTGCGAAAATATTTCTGAATTGTTAGTTTATATACTTAGCGCTTGCCTCCTGATGTAAGTTCACCCAGTTGTGCTATATCATGGGCTGTAACTACGTGTGAACCAAAGGTGAGCCAAGGAGTGATGTGTTGTAAGCATTACAGTTGTGATTGTGATGATTTTCTATATTTCATTATCTATCAGAATCGCTAATAATACTGTAACAGTGTTAAGGTAGACGCCTACTCATAAATGAAAATACCCAGAATTTATTCATTTTACAATAAATTGTACTCCAAGGCAATATAAGATTATTGACTTAAAAAAAAGTGTGGGGTCACCAGCCTTTTTTTTTGAGAATTTGATTGTTGTATTTAAGTGGAAAGTCACCATTTTGGTAGTATTGTAATGTTTTCACCATAGGTTCCTGTGGCAGAGATATTATGCCATATCTCAAAATCTAACCTGGTGACATAGGCTGAAAAAATCATATATTGTTAATGATGGAGTACTTTTTGTTCTGAATTATTTCAAAAATCTGGGTTTTAAAAAGTGTCAAAAAATGACATTTTTCTTTTTGTGTTCTATAGAAATGTTCTAAGAATAGTGATTTTCAAGAAATATTAGGACGCGTTTCTCAAAAAGCTTAACTGTAACACACAAAATAATGTTATTTCATTGTATCATGGGTCATTAGCTTCATGATTGTACATATTAAACCAATGAACATTGTCATGCAATTTATGACCAATTTTGTCAAAAATTATGAGTAGGCTTCTACCTTAATGCATTGAGTAAGTAACTGTTGTTATCCAGTCTGAAATTCTTTGTGATAAATATGCGCATGTTACAATTTATTTTTTTCCTCATACAGATTGACATGCTTAAAATGAAAAATATGTGATGTAATGTGAATATATTTTGATGTACCGTACAAGGGATTATATTTGACACTAAATGTCAGAAATATGAATGTTATTTCTTTTAAGGTATGCGTCTAGCCTTGGCTGATGCTGGCGATACTCTGGAAGATGCTAATTTTGTTGAAGCTATGGCAGATGCTGGTATTTTAAGACTCTATAACTTTTTAGATTGGGTTAAAGATATGATCGCTACAAAGGAAAGTTTCCGAACAGGACCTATTGTTACATTTGACGACCGGGTCTTTGAAACTGAAATGGACAAAGGTATTCTTGAAACAGAACAAAACTACGAGCGTATGATGTACAAGGATGCTTTAAAGACAGGATTTTACGAATATCAGGTTAGTATTAAACGTGTCATGTGATATGAGGTTATTACGATGATACCACAATGTGCATGTATGCACAAAAACAGTACGATGGTGAACAGAAACATAACATAACGGGATTTGATGCCTAAGCGTACTGTCTGAGTGCATACTTTGTGGTATCCTCGTAATAACTTTATTATCAGACTAGTACATCGTTGCGAGCCAACCAATTGATGCATGAGAAGCCCCAAATCGTTCCATATTTGGAATGTGCATTTCCTAATATTGTAGGATGTATTTTTGCCTTAAAGCATGCAGCATTGTCATAGAAACAGTGACACTAACAATTCAGTATTTTTCACAAAGTTGATATGCTGGTATAAAAATTCATTATCACGAGTATCAACCGATGAGTAACATAGATTGGTACGACTGTGTACTCTCTGAGTGCATACGTAATAAACTTATTACTGTAGAATACTTTATTTTCGCTTGGAATTTATTTTCGCTATTTTCGCTGAAGGGATGATTCCGTGAAAATAAAATCCAGCGAATATACTTTTTTTCCGATATTTCACATTAATCTCATCAAAAATCAGTGAAAATAAATTCCAGGCAAAATGCCCAGAAAGCCTTTTCAGCGAAAATTAATTCCAGCGAAATTAAAGTATTCCACAGTATCTTCCTGACTGCGCTGTAAGATGCCTAGAACTGTGTAATGTGGTTACAATTATTGGAAATTTCCTTCTATGAACTTTGTTTTCAAAAACATTCGCCATCATGGAAATACCATATTTGGAATTCACATTTCCTAATATGATAATATGCATATACCACAGCAATACTGCAAAATTTTGCGGTATTTTACGGGGTAGTTTCATCCTATTATATAAAGAAATGGGAAAGAGTTTCTTTTGTACCCCCCATTCCTAGCCCTAACCCTACCTCTACCCTCCAGCACTCCCCATTTAATTGTACATGCCCCTCGTAAGGAAATCTAGTTATCTAGGGGGAGCATATACAAATGAATTTGGTAACTGGGAGTGAGTGTTAGGGTTAGGGATGGGGAGGTACAAAAGGAAATCTTGCCAAGAAATGTGCGTTGGTCGATATTCCAGCTGTACTGTCTTCGTGAATACTTTGAGGTATTCTCATAATAACCTTATGTTATACATCATACCTAAATGACGGTGTTCTTCTTTGCAGGCTACAAGAGATAAATATCGTGAAGTTACGATGAATGATATGCACCGAGATCTCGTATTCCGATTTATTGAGACACAGATTGTCATCCTGTCTCCTCTCTGTCCACATATATGTGAGCACTTATGGCAGCTACTTGGCAAGGTAAATCCTCCCATCATTTTATACTTGAAGTCTCTCCTATGAAACTCTATTTTCACATACAAATTAGTTTCATATTCGTAGCCAGGGGGTTTCGTTAACGCACGATACTGTGTCCGGGAAGCTGACACTTTAATGATGATGCAAATTGTTTTTCTCATATGGGTCCCAGTAATCCATCAGTCACTTGCATTATGCTTTTTCTTTGTGGAGACCGATTTAATACCTTGGAATGGCCTGTCTACTGTAAAATGACTAATTTTCAATGGGTTTAAATTTCGCTGATTTACCATTTCAGACATATTCAGTGGGTGTTAAATTCACGCTTTTATCATTTAGATAATGTGTTTTATGCTAAATTTTACATATTCACTGGGTTTTAATTTCAGGTTTTGCAGTCAGCGAAATATAAAGCAAAATTAAAACCCAGTGAATAATTAAGCCTTTTACAGTATTTTGCACTCGTAAAACACAAGCCAAGAAGGCCAAGTGTGGTACAGAATGTAGTTATTCAGTAACTGTGAAAGCATGTATTATCCAGGAATTAGCTTGTGCCATCACTGTAAATAGTGATTGTTTTCCTTCACGATACTGCAGTGTGGGAAATAATATATGCTGATTTATGCAAGGTTGCTGAAAGGTGAAACTATAGTGGATAACAGTGAAAGGGGAATCATGTCTCGCAACTTGTGGTGTCGTTTATGGCTTGCAGTCAGTCGTTAATGCTTTATTATTTGCAACAATTACTTTTGAACTTTTTGTCAATATTTAGAAATGAGTATGTTGGCTTTAAAATGGATATAAATTCCCCTAGAAAATCAGATTGATCACAACCATGCAACGGTTCATTACTGTGCTGCCTTGAAAGAGCTCAGTCTAGTCTCAAAGACGGACCGGAACAGGAAGTCAGTAGAAAACAAAAGATGTCGTTGTTAGTGTGGTAGAAAGTTGGTTAGCGTGGGGGAAAACAGACATGTTAAACCGAAAATTCATTGTCTTTTTGACTCCCATGTGCGAAGCACAAAATGGGAGTCTTTGCAGTTAGTGTGTCTGTATGTGTGTATGTGTGTGTGTATGTGTGTCCGACTGTTCCACTGCTATCTCAAGAACCATACATCGGTTTTTGATGAAACTTGGTGCATAGATGCTCTGGGCCAATGCGCAGATTTGATTAGGTTTTGGTAAAAATCCATGCTCGTTAATTACCTAATTTGCATGATAATTAGCTAATTTTTAGCTGTTCTATGACTGTTCCACTGATATCTAAAGAACCACTCATTGGATTTTGATAAAACTTGGTACATAGATGCTCTGAACATATGCGCAGATTTGATTAATTTTTGGTAAACATCCGTGCATATTAATTACCTAATTTGCATGATAATTAGCTATTTTTTAGTGGTTCCATGACTGTTCCACTGATATCTAAACAACCACTCATTGGATTTTGATGAAACTTGGTACATAGATGCTCTGAACTAATGCTAGGTTTTGATTAGTTTTTGGTAATAATCCGTGGATACTAATTACCTAATTTGCATAATGAT